GGGCTATCCTCAAAGTCACCAAGGACCTGAAAGGTGAGTGTGTCCTGAGAGATCTCCTGCAACTGAGGTGCAGGAGAAGTGAGGGCCCTGGGAGCTTCTCCCTCAGAGGCCTCCCTCTGTGATGTCTGATGTCTGCCATCCTCCCCACAGCTGCCATCTCTGCCATCCTCCAGGGCCATGGTGATGGGCAAGGGCCAGTGACAGATGCCAGTGCTGAGCTGCACAGACTCTGCAGCTGCCTGGAGCTGCTGCTGCAGGTGGGGCCTCTTCCACTCCCAACCCTCTCCCCAGGCCCAGATCACCAGGAGGCTTGCCCAGATACTGAGGAAGAGCCACTGCCTCCCTTTGTTACTATGCACTGTCTCATCTCCCTTAGGATCAGCAAGTCCCTCCTGACAGCTAAACTCATTGTTGGAGGCTGTCATTGCAGCCTTCAAAAGGAGGTGGGACAAAGCTGAGGTGGGGTGGGACCAGGGGCTCAGGGCAGTCCTCCCTGCTCTATAAACAAAACCTTCAAAAGTCATGGATGTCGGGCCGGCCCGTGGCTTGGGAGAGTGTGGTGCTGATAACACCAAGGCCACAGGTTCAGATCCTATATAGGGATGGCCGGTTGGCTCACTGGCTGAGCATGGTGCTGACAACACCAAGCCAAGGGTTGAGATCCCCTTACTAGTCATCTTTTAAAGAAAAAAAGTCATGCATGTCCTAGCACTGGCCCTTCTTGCTGCTGCTTAGAGCCCCAATCATAACTATCACTAAGATTCTTGAGCACTTACTATGTGCCAGGCTAAGCCCCTCATTTGCCCACTTTATTTAATCCTCACCGTAAACCTCTGAGGGGCTTGGCACCCTTCCCCACATACACAAACATCCTTTCTCCTCCTCTGACTTCACCTCTTGCCAGTCTGCCCCTCCTCTGCTGTACTCCAGCTGCATTGGATGCCTGGATCTGCCTCAGACACACCCGGCTGGCTCCTTCATTTGCACTTGCTAGTCCCTCTGCCTTGAATGCTGCCCCCCAGAAATTTGCATGGCACACTTTCTCACCTCCTTCAGATCTGGAGGCTTTTTTTGGCCACCTCAATCTAATTTTCAACACATGCACACACACTCGTGCACACATGCACACACACACCACGCTTTCTATTCTCTTTCCTTTCTTCATTTCATCTCCAGAGCAATCATCACTTTCTAACATGTTGTATGTTTAACTTATTTGGTCTGGTCATTGTTTATCTCCCCTACCAAGACGTGAGCTTCATGAGGTCAGTGTGTTCATTGCTGTATCCCCAGAGCTTAGAACAGGGCCTGGCACACAGTAAGTGCTCAATAAGTTTCTGAATGAATGAAGAGGAACACTGAGGCTCACAGAGGTCAAGCAGCTGGCTTCTGGTCACATAGCTAGTAAGGGAACATCTAGGGCCTGAAGCTGGGTCTGTCTGCACAAGCCCTTTCCTTTACCGCGTGCCTGCTCAGCATGCTGGAAGGTGACGTGCGTTCTAGGAGAAAGCACTTCTACACTTTCCTTTCCCTCATCCTGGTTCCAGTTTGACCAGAAAGAGCAGAAGAGCTTCCTGGAGCCTCAGAAAGTTTACTGGGACTACATCTGCATGCCCTGCGGTGGCAGCGGGATGACATGGAGCCGGCTGGCTTCATCCACTCACAGGACAAGGTACCCAGGATCAGGTGGTAGGAAGGCTGACCTGAAAAGCATTACGGTCCCCACCACCAGTCCACCTGCAGGAGCCACACAGCCAGCAAGCCGGCTGTCTTCAAGAGGAGCCCAGGAAAGATTGGATGGCTGGACTCGATGGGTTCCAGGAACACTAGCATCTTCGCCACTTTTTGTCTTTTTTTTTTTTTTTTTTTTTAAGATGACCTGATGGGTTCTGGGAGTTTCCCTGCAGATATCAGCAGCATTTGGAGGCTCCAAGGGAGTCCAGCTGCAAGAGTCACACACCCGTCAAGCCGGCTGTCTTCGAGAGGAACCCAGGGAAGATTGGATGGCTGGACTCTCTGTTCGCCACTTTTTGGAAAAGAGGAGAGAAGATTCCAGGAGCTGTGGGTCCCCCCAGAGCATGTGGGAAGCAGAGGGGGAGGAGCTTCAGCTAGACCAGGAGGAGGGAACCCCAAAGACAGGGATCCTCCTGCAGAGTTCCTCACCCAGCAGTCAGAGACACAGGGAGGGGGACAAGAGTTCCCAGAAGGAGGCGATAGGGATGGAGGCCGAGGGTACAGGGCCTCTGCCAGCTGCAGAGGTGCAGAGAATAACAGAGGGCACTCAGGAAGGGGAGGCAGGGTGGGGCCATGTCCAGAGGCTGCTGGCCCCCAGCCCCAGAGGGACGACAGAGAAAGCACCATCAGGGAGCAGGCAGGAGTGGGGGGTGTCCAGCATTCTGGGGGAGGCCTGGGTCCTGCAGGGCCTGGGAACAAAGGAAGGCTCCACCACAGAGAAGCCACAAGAGCAAACTGGAGTGACCACTGAGGCCAGGAAGGAGGAGCAAGCAGAGGTGCCCTTGCAGGACGTGGTCAAGGTGAGAGCAGTTGAGCTCCGTCTATCCGTCTATCCTCCCCTCTCTGAGCTGGGCTTCAGATGGGGTCTCCAGTGGTAGTCTGGGGGCCGTTCCAGGCTGCTGATCAATTGTTATCGGCCAGCAGAGGAATCTTATTCGTGGATGCCTTTAGAAGCCATGAGTTGTTCAGTTTGCCACAGTCCCCACCTGTCTCCATTGCCTGTCACTCAACCCACTTTCTCATCAGTGCTTCCTGCCAGCCCCTGTGGGCAGTTGCGTTTGAGATCCTTCACAACAGTTCTTTGGGACGGTCACTTGTTCTCGAGTTCCAACTCCCTCATTACAGCAGGTCTCCTCCCCATACCTAATTCTACTGTCGCAGACCCCACCTAGTGGCTCCTGGAGAGGCTTCTCCCTGAGGTCACCAGGATTGTTCCTGAGCCTCCCTTCAGCCTCCTCCCTCCCCAGGGTCTTCCAGGTTCTTGAACTTTGTAACTTCCACCCTTCAGTGAAGGAAGAAATGGCAGCCCCAGGCTCCCCCAGGGGCAGGGCCAGGGACAGAGCCAGGCATCCCAGCTCCCTGCGCTGTCCCTCGTCCTGCTCTCCACCCAAGGGCACGATATGTGGCCCATGGGCATGTTTGGCAGGTCAGCCGCGGGGCTGGGGTCTCTGTCCTCCTCCTTCAGCTTCCCCTCCTCCCCCCTCTCAGGGCCTCAGGCATGGGCTCCAGAAGGCCGAGGAGCGGGCCCAGCGCCAGGAGCAGCTGCTGAAGGAGCAGGAGGGGCAGCTGCAGGTGCTTCAGGAGCAGCTCAGCAGGTAACCTCGGCGGCAGCAGCACAGGCACCCGGAGGTGCTTCCTGGCTCCTGCTGTCAATCAAGGTCAAGCCAGAGGGCACGTGAGCACCTCGGTGCTCCAGGCTCTGTGCTGGGCAAGGCTTTGGGATGCTGAGGTGTTGGGGGTGTTGTTCCTGACCACAGGGGCCGCCCACCACCCCCTTGGCCAGCTCCCTCCCTTAGCAACTTCCCCAGTAGCCCCAGGAGAGGTCCCACCCTCTACCCCTCCTTCCCTCCCACACTCACCTTTGCCCTGTTCTGCTGTCTCCTACACATGCTCCTTCCTCTTTTCAATCCACACTGTGCCCCTCCCCCACCACACTCCTCCACCCCTCTTTTACTCTGTCTCCCCCTTTTACCTGTTTATCTGTCTCTCATTTTTTCGTTCCCTGTTACACAATCTCTGCTTCACCCTCTGTAGGTAACAGTTATGAGCATTTACTATGTCCTGGGCACTGTTGTGGGTGCTTTCTCATAACAACTTCATGATATAGGTTCTGTAAGAATTCCCATTTTATAGATAAGGAAACTGAGGCTCAGAGACGCTCCACAATTCACCTCACATCAGCTCATGAGCAGATGAGTGAGGTTCACACCCTGCAGCTGCCTCCAGAGCCAGTGGCTCAACACTGCCCTCAGCCAGTATTTGCTGTCGCTGCACTTCAGTGTCTCTGCGTCCAGCGTCTTCATCTTCCCACACCCACATGACCACAAGGCCCAGAGCCCACTGCCTGTCTCTCCCTTTCCCCCTCATTCTCTCAGTGTCTCAGTTCATCTTTCATAATTCATTTGATAACACATCTTCACCATGCAAAGATCCTCCTTGGCCTGACTCAGACTCTTTGTTTCTCTCCCTTGGTCTCCATGTGCCTCTGTCTGCCTGCCCACCTCTATCTCTCCCCTGTGGCTGACACCTGCTCCTGGGCAGCCAACTAGGCCAACCCTGGCAGAGCTGGAGTGGGTAGCTGTGATTCAGAATGAATCACTGGGAAATCTGTTGACTGTCTGCTTAACAGTGTGACAGAGGCCCAGAAACCAACCCCCAAAAACCTCAAGGTTTCTCCCACCATACACTCAGCTGACCCCTCTGGTTTGGTCAGCAAGAACTTGGATGACTCAGGCACTAAGTGATTGTGGGGGCCTGTCCTACATGAGAGCCTTCAGTGGGATCAAGACAGGCATTGGGAGCAGCTGGGAGGCCCTAGGTTGTGGGAGGGCAGGTCTATGGGGAAAGTTCAGGAGCCTAGTTTTGAACATGTTAAGTCTGAAACACATGTTAGACATCCAGGTGGGGTCATTGGGCCAGCCATGGGGGTGGAGTTCAGGAGAGAAGTGTCAGTGGGAGACCCACTTGGGAGTCTTCAGGATGCGGATCGTGAATAACAGCAGCTCCCAGGGCTGGGAAGGGAACGTGCTCCCCTAAGTCCTGGGATCCAGAAAGCTCAGGACAAAGCTCACTTCTGGGAAAAGGTACCACAGACATCAAGCTGGTGACAGTATCTCACCACCAGCAAATAGGAGTTCCCACTGGGTCCATTCATTCAGTCAACATGTCTGTGCCTCAGGCATGGCCATGCACAGATCCCAGGGTGGCGAGGGCACAACCGTGAACCAAACAGGCAAAGTCTGCTCTAAAAGACCTAGGAGACTGATGATAGATAAGTAAATAGAAATACAATGTCACGTAGTCATAGGTGCTCTGGGAAAAAATGAAGCCAGGGAAGGGCATACAGAAAGGACAGTCATTCAGATTTAGGGTCCAGAAATCCCTCTCTGAGGAGGTGACATTCAAACACCAATCCTAACCACCTGAGAGACTGGACCCTGCAGATATCTAGGGAGGAGTCCTGCAGGTGAGGGGGACGGCAAATGCAGAGGCCCAGAGGACACATGCTTGGGGACAGGCAGGCCAAACACTCCAGGTGTGGCTGGAGCAGAGCGAGAGGGGGCAGAGCGGTAGCCAGGGACCTCAAGGTCCTGTGTGAGACTCTGGAATTCTTCTCCATGCCATCAGAGGCCAGGGCAGGGTTAGGAGCAGGGAGTGGGTAGGGGGTGGGGTCTCTTGGTCTGACAGGCTTTTAAAAGGGTCACTCTGGCTGTGGTGTAGAGAATAGACTGAGGGTGTGGTAACAAGCGAGTCCTGTGGGATTCTTCTTCACCGTCGTGTGAGAGGCCGATTTAGTAGGGGAATCATGACCCGTGTGGGTCCAAGTGCTCGCCGCTATAGGACCATCTGTCACACCCTCCAGACAGAACTTAAAGGAAGGCCTTTTTTGTTTTGGAAGACGTCAACCAGGAGACAGGAGGTAAAGTCCCAACTTCCTCCCTGATCGGCTGAGGGCTGGGGTTTATATAGGTAGATGTACCAGGGAGACAGGACGTAGGGTCTTCAAGCGTGACAGTCAGCTACTTTCTCACTCACCTCGTCTATGGCGCCAGGGTCTTTTCTGGTTTCTGTTCCATGACGCTGTCTTTGAGTTCCAGATGGCTCCGACTTATTTCCTGCTGAGTAGGGTATAGGTGATTCTGCTTGTGATAAATCTTAGTTAATCATTCAGGGCTAGCTACATAGGGAAAACAAAGTTAGCTGTGTAGTGGATACATGAGTGTGAGGGGTTCTCTACATTTACAGGTGGACTGGGCAGAAGCCCACAGCACACAGCCCAGGCTAGACGCAGAGGTGAGTGCCACAGACCCTCCAGGAGCAGGCCCCAGAGCAGGCCAGCAGGGGCTGTGAACATGGACTGGGAACTGAGGTCTGGGGTTCCAATGTCCACTTCATGGCATGCTGGCTGTGGGCCCCTTGGAGAGTGGCCTCCCCTCTGTGATCCTCAGCTCTCTGGTTTCCAAAAGGAGATGGTACGATCTCTAAGCTTCCTCCTTCTAGTTCAGATACTCTATGGGGCTATTTTTACAAGCAGGTGGGTTTTCTTTGCCCTTTGGGTAAGACCTTGAAGCAAAGCAGATGAAGACAGGTGTAAGGCGAGGGGATCCTCAAGATGGGGAATTAGGCAGTCATCACATCTCCTCCACCCCATGGACAGCAGCACTGAGCTCCTTTGAGGCCTGCCAGGGCTATCAGGATCCTCTTTCCCATCTGCTGCCCTCTCAGCACTGGTGCCAGGAATCACTGGAGATCAGGGCCCTTTGTGGATGACAGTGTGGGGAGGCAAAAAAAAAGTCTAAAGCTGGACAGGCCTTTGTCCAGTTTTCTGCTCCCCCCACCTATCAAGCTGTGTGACCCTGGGGAAGTGTCACTCCCTCCATGAGGCTCTACTTTTCTCTCCTGTAAAATGAGGATCATATCACCTGCCTCATAACATTGTGAAACAAGGCTCTAAAACACTAAGCTCAGCACCTGGCATATAGTAAGTGCTCGACAAACTTTAATTCCTCCAGTGTCTCCTCTTGCACTAGGAGTGCCTGTCACCCCCTGTCTAAAACCTTTCAGGGCTTCTTATTCACTTCAATTAAAGTCCACTCCTCCTGGGACCACCGAGGGTCAAATCAGGCCCTCCTCATCTTGTGCCTCTGTGCCCTCCTTGCCATTCAGGCATTGCAGCTTCACCAGCCTTATTTCAGTTCCTCAAACAAGCCAAGCTCTTGCCAATGTGCAGACCTTTGCATATGCCTGTCCCTGGCTCTATATGGTTGACTTCTCATCTTTTAAGTCACTTAAATGTCACCTTGTCTGAGATGCCTGCCCTGAGCACCCTCACGAGTCTCTCACTCGGTCCCTCATTTGTCTCTGTCATGACACTTACCTTAATTATTTTACTGGTCTATCACGTGTTTTCACCACTGCCTGCAACATGCTATTAGCTCCATAGGAGCCATAGGCACTGCTCTATTCCTGGCACCTTAAATTGCCTTTGGCACGCAGTAGGTGCTTAACAAGTATTTTCTCCTACCCCAAAGATGTACTCAAACCACAGTGGACACATAAGGACCTGGGATCACTGGGCAAGTAAACTGGCTCAGGAAAATTGAAGTCAGCAGCTGAGAAATGAGGAGGCTAGAGACTAGAATGTTCATTAAAAGATAAAATGTGGCCACGATCCGTGCCTGAGCACCAGAACACCTTTCTTAAGGCTGCAGTGATTGGCCTTTCTGTTGTCAGTCTGATTTCATGATACCCCACAACTTTCTTCCCTGCGGTGTGCTGTCAGTGTTTTAAACATTAATAGTTCGATTCATTGCCAAGCCTCTCACCAGCCCCCTCTCCTCAAACATGGTCAAACCCAGGGCACAAGCGTGTACACGCACACACATGCACACACATCCTGAGAGCATGGGACCCTCACTAGTGCCCAGCTGCCCTTGCACGCCCTCCCCACTGAGCAACGGAGCAACAGGCTGGGACCCAGACCCTATTTATTTCCAGTCCAGTAGACTTCTTGGAATTTTCTAGAAAACCCCAAAAAACAAAAAGAAAAGGCAAGAATACAGCTGAGGAGATTCCAAGCCCAAAACTGAAATAGAAATTTAGGAAAGCCATGTTTTTAATATTACTTTTTTTAATTGAAAATACAATGTAACATAACTTTTAAAAATATTTTAAAGCAAAAAATCACTCCAAATCCTACAGTACTAGGCTGGGCACAGTCTGTGCAGCCAGGAAGGCATCCACCTTCCCTCCAGAGAGCTGCCATGATGGTGAACAATCCTTTCAAGAAAGTGACATCTTAGAATGGAAACGTTAAAAAAAGAAAAGAAAAAACAGAAGGAAAGGAATTAAAAAAATAGAAATGTTGGCTCATCCCCTCTAAAGGAACACTCAAGACTAAGCCCTGTTTTCTTTTCGCTGAATGGCTGGGGAGGAGTCAGCCTACAAGTGTCAGACCACACGCAGGGCTCAGTTTGGTGTGTGTGCACACGTTGTGTCTCTTTATTGTATCGTGTGTGTTCATGGTGCGTGTGTTGTGTTGTGTGTTGTATTGTGTGTGCATGCATTGTATGTGTATGCATTATATGTGTATTTTAGTGTGCGTGTGCATTATGTGGATATTTGTTCTGTGTGTTGTGTGCATGCACACCACATTGTGTTATTTTGCATTTGGTGTGTGTATGTGTTGTGTGTGTGCATTGTATGTGTATATGTGTATTTTAGTGTGCGTGTGCATTATGTGGATATTTGTTCTGTGTGTTGTGTGCATGCGCACCACATTGTGTTATTTTGCATTTGGTGTGTGTATGTGTTGTGTGTGTGCATTGTATGTGTGTTGTCTGAGTGTATGTGTTCTGTGTGTGTTGTGTTACAGAATGTGTTATGTCGTATATTGTGATGTGTGTGTTTTGTGTGTTGTATTGTATGTGCATTATGTGTGTTTTGTGTTGTATGTGTGTATGGTGTGTATTGTGTTGTGTATTGCATTGTGTGTGTGTGTGGTGTGTATTGTGTTGTGTATATTCATTATGTGTGTATTGTGGGGTGTGTGCGTGTGGTGTCTTGTGTGTGTCTGTGTGTGTGTGAACTTCGGCTGCCGGGGCACCACCAGCTTCTCCCTGGGAGCTCCCTGTCAGGTGGAGGCCCCTCCTAGCTCAGTCACAAATGCTGAGCTCAGAACTCAGCTTCCTTCTGTGTGCAGGTGTCAGGAAGAGAGAGCCCGGCTGCAGGCAGAGCTGGAGCAGAAGCAACAGGAGGCTGAGAGGAGGGACGCCATGTATGGGGAGGAGCTTGGAGGGCAGCAGGCCCTGGTCCAGGCCATGAAGAGGCGGGTGCTGGAACTGATTCAGTAAGGACGAGGACAGCAGGGTGGGCTGCGGAGGGGACATGGTAAGGGATGTGGATGCTGGGGAAAGAGCATTCTACTCCACTAACTAGTCTCAAGCAGGATTCCAGAACTTTCTATATGGTAACCCATTTCCTTCTTTTAGCCACCTCTTGCTGCTATCCCCATTTTACAGATGAGGAAACTGGGGATCAGAGAGGCTGACTTGGTCACTAAGGACACACAGCATATAAATTACACAGAGTCCTCTGACAATAAAAACACTTGCACCCCAACCCACCTCCACATACACACACACCTACTAAGGTTAGGAGAAAAGAAAGGGGCCCACACGTTGAGATTGGGACAAGGAGGAAAAAGACACAGGGGTTAACCAAGAGGTAATCACATGTCCCACACCTGCCTGCCCACGGGACTTTCTCAGACCCCTGGGCCTGTGAGCCTGCTCTGAGTCAGCTGTCCCAGGTTCCAGAGGCCGGGCTTACCAAGGCTAATTCCATGCCACTAAGCTCGCTGGGGCACAGGGGAGAGGTATAAAGTGCAGCGTCTCCCCTCCAGTCTCATGGGGAGATGATTCACATGCACAGGTTATCCTTTCACATAGTTCAGGAGACAGGAGACCTTTGGACTCAGCCTCCATTAAAACCTGAATGTTGCTGAATGGTCCTCTACAAAATCCTCTTACACAAAATCCACATGATATTAAAAGGCAAGAAAAAGGAGCAATCAACTCGGAAAGAACAAACCAGTAACTTAAAGAATGAGTTCCTCTAAGGAATGAACTATCAGTTGGGAGGAAGAAAGACATAAAAAGTTAACTATTGACTTCACAAAAGAATTTAAAGTAGCTAACAATAAAAGCCATATAGATGGGCCAGCCTGGTGGTGCACTTGGTAGAGTGCGGTGCTTGGGAGCGCGGTGGCACTCCCGCTGAGGGTTCGGATCCCATATAGAGACTGGTCCGCTCACTGGTTGAGCACGGTGTGGGCTCGACACCGAGGGTTGCGATCCCGTTGCCGGTCGCGGTACGGGCACGACACCGAGGGTTGTGATCCTTTTACCGGTCACGAAAAAAGACAAAAAAGGAAAAAAAAAAAAAAGCCATATACAAAGAACTTCGAAAAGTTCTTCAAAAAATGGAACTGAAATATAAATATAAAAAATATAAGTTTTGGGCCAGCCCGGTGGCGCACTGGAGAGTGCGCCACTTGGCTCCCAGCGCCACACTCTCCCGAGTGCACCACGGGCTTGGCCCAACAATCTCAAAATTTAACAGCCGTGCTGGCCGTTAAGCTCAGTTGGTTAGAGCGCATGTTATAACACCAAGGTCAAGGGTTCAGATCCCCATACCAGCCAGCCACCAAAAACCAAACAAAAAAATAATTCGAAAATAAAAAACCACAATCCAATTAGAAACTGGGCAAAAGACATTTTACTGAAGAAGATATGTTAAATAAGCACATGAAAAAGATGTGTAACATTGTGAGCCATTGGAAAAATGAAAATAAAAATCATGATGTGATATCATTACACACCTGTTAGAATGGCTAAAAAGAATTGTGACAATACTAAATAGTGTCAAGGATGTGGCAAAACTGGATGTACCATCCATTGCTAATAGGAATGTGAAACGGTACAGCCATCACACTCCTGGGCACTTATCCCAGAGAAATGAAAAGTTATGTCCACACGATCTATACGTGAATGCTCACAGCAGCTTTATTTATAAGAGCCCAAAACTGGAAACAACCCAAATGTCCTTCAATGAAGGGGGGGCTGGCCCTGCATTACTGTGTGGAGTCACCACCAACAAGACCTTCACCAGATGCATTCCCTGGACTCTGGACTTCCCAGCCTCTCAAATTGTAAGCAATAAATATTGCTTTTTTTATTTACAAATTACCTAGTTTCAGGAATTTCTGAAACAGACTAATGCAACAGAGGTGGTCAGACTAGCAAAGATGCTAAAACTGCATTTATAATTATGTTCGAGTATTTAAAGGAAAACATGAACATAGTGAGGAGAGGAATAAATGAAATCAAAAGCTGATTCTCGGGCTGGCCCGGTGGCACACTCGGTTGAGTGCAGCGCTCCCGCCGAGGTTTTGGATCCCATATAGAGACCGGTCCGCTCACTGGCTGAGTGCGGTGTGGGCACGACACCGAGGGTTGCGATCCCATTACCGGTCAGTAAAAAGGAAAAAAAAAAATATATATATATATATATATATATATATATATAAGTTTTGTTTCTCTACATAAGTTCCATCAAGTTCAAGACATTTTTCTAAGGGAGGATACCAGATGTTTATTCCATCTCTAAAAAACTGAGGGTCCTGGGACTTTAATCTTGACAATGCAGTTTTCTTACATCATTAACTAAAGAAAAATGGGTGCCCTTTAAAGATTTTTTACAATCAGAAAACAAAAAGAAGTCAGAAGCAGCCAAATCAGGACTGGAACATGGAAACCTAATGATTTTTCATTGAAACACAAAATTGCCCTTGTTTGATGAGAGGAAAGAGCAGGAGCGTTGTCGTGCTGGAGAAGGACTCCCTGGGGAACCTTCCCGGGTGCTTCTCTGCTACAGCTTTGGCTATCTCAAAAAACTACCATAAAAGACAGGTGTTATCATTCTTTGGCCTTCCAGAAAGCCAACAAGGAAAACGCCTTGAGCATCCCACAAAACTGTTGCCGTGGGGCCGGCCCGGTGGCGCACTGGATAAGTGCGCCGCTTGGGAAGCGCGGCAGCGCTCCTGCCCAAGGGTTCGGATCCCACATACAGACCGGTTCCCGCTCACTGGCTGAGCGAGGCGCGGGAGCAACGCCGAGGCTTGCAATCCCGTTGCCGGTCCCCGGTCCGGTACGGGGGCAACACTGAGGGTTGCGATCCGTTGCCGGACATGGAAAAAAGACAAAA